TTAAAGAAAGTTCTGTGAACCTTAAAGTATTAAAAGTACTAAAATATCCAAGAAAATATCTCGCTGCTCTATGCCGACACAGCGTTTTTTCCGTGATGTCACAAGAGCATCGTCTAGCCAGAGCGTTTACTTTTCGGTACGTGCTGTAAGAAATACGTTAGGCGTGATACAAACTTCTCTATATTCTTGGGTTCAAGTTGTTTTTTTGAATCAAACAACCTTTAACGAATTGTACAGTAAATTTAGTAGTTTCTCTCTAAATTACCAATTCACTTATTTAAATTGAATAATAAATCAGATTATTGATTATTGTATAATTATTTATTTCAAAGTCGACGTTTCATAACATACGTAACATAACAATGTTATTGTTTATTCAGATCATTTTAAATCATTAAAATGCAGATAATCAGTCTATTTCACCAACAGGTTTAATGGTCAGCTCATGAACCTAAAAGATAAAACCAGATTAATTATAAAATGAATATTATATATAACAGGGCAAAAGTAGTATTACGTAGTTAGTATCAGCAATTTCTCATGCTGCAGTGTACGATGTGTTGCATATCTATTTACAAACAACACAAAGAAAGTGATTAAAGAAATTGTTCACAAAAGTGAATTTCGATCACTCGAAGCAATGATACTAACAGTTTCGATCTCACAGTGACTGATATGGGGGAAGAACTAATTATAATAATAATAATTATTATTATTAATATTTTGTATATAGTTTAATTTTGACTTTCTGTGCGTCTTGTGCTAGCAACAAGTTCAGATAATTGTATGGTTTACTTGAACATGAGGAGGGGTGCCGAGGACGTACAAAACGCCGTCTGCTATATCCTTGGGATAAAGACTAGGCCGGTTGCCGATAGCTTTGATAGCTTTTGGATGAAAACCTGCGGACTCATACAGATTGGTTGACACAAGTCCTGGACTAATACTCTAAAAGAAAAAAGGTTCTGATGGGATCGTAAGTGTTACGTTGTCAACCAGACTTACGGTCACCTTGATTCCAAGACCTTTAAGGACAATTTCGCGTCTCAAAGTTTCTGTCAGTGCAGTTACGGCATATTTAGAAGCGCAATAGACGTTGGTCCTTGAATAGGGCAGAACAGTATGCCCGGAAATGCTGTTTATGTGTATGACATGACCTTTGATCTCATTGCTCGTCATGTGCTTGACAGCTTCTCTCGTGGCCAAACACAAGCCGAAAACGTTCGTGTCCAAAACATCCTTCCACATTTGGGCATCGCCATCGATGAGATCATTATCCCTGGCGATTCCGGCACAATTAACTAGGATATGTACAGGACCTAAGTGTTCCTTGATCCATTCGAAACCGTCAACTACTTCAGATTCGTTTGTTATGTCGACAGCAAGAGACCAGAACTTTCCCTTCGAATTTGTCAATTTTTTATCGAGTTGATCTAAAGTTGCCTTACAAATGTCGAGTCCAGCGACCTACGTACATATAAAGTTAGGTTTTTGCAATGCAAGATTAATATTGTAGTGTTCGTGGGTTTAAAAAAAATTAACTTCTAAGAATGAATTTACATTAATTTATTAAAGAACTTAAAAACACTATTAAATTATTAGTAAACTTAGGTTAAGAATTATTGTATTTATTTACACTACTGTTGATATATCACTATTCACTGCGCTATTTATTTCACTGCTATCACTGTCAATTTATTTATTCTTCTCTGGGCGATCGTCTCTTCCTTTAAATACTCTTTTGTTTACCATCGGGAACCTTCCGGATAGTTTATTTTTTTCTTTAAACTATTTAATTGCTTTCCCTGAACGCAGGTACGACACATACATTTACAAATACGTCGCACATGAAGAAAAGCGCCCGCGGCTAGTCGGCGAATCGATAAGCCGTTCATGCACACGTGTGCCCGATCGCACACAGATACACTGGTGCTCGCTACAGTACGTATATATTACTGATGCAAAAGAATGATTAAAATATATTTTATTCACATAAAACAAGTTGAATAAAAAACAGTGTCAAAAATTAAGCGACTTTCCAGTAGTGTATAATATAAATCCGCCTTAATTTTCCAAAAATGTTTTAAACAATAGCGGCTTTGCAATTGACTATTTTTGAACTTGTTGTGGATTTGACGACAAATCCACAAATGAAACTAGCTGCACCGGATGCTTCGGTATGCTCCCTGAAATCAAATTATCTCATATGCGGTTCGGGGCTCATAAAATATATATCATTGCATCGGAAACGGCTACTGCATCCGATGTAGAGTGTCTTTCATATTGGATTTGTGCTCGGCATTTTGGTTAACCAATTATCCGTAAACAGAACAATCCTCCGCACGTGTATGTGTTATGAAGCTAAAGATCCGATAAAATTTATTATCAGTACATCTACGTATATGAACGTTCCGGAGTTGTAGAAGTCGATAATATTTGTATATACTAAGGTTGGTTCAAAGCATAACTTCCCTATTCTCTACCAGCCAAATAAAGGAAAGCGGTTCCATGGTTACGATTATACGATTAGACCACCTACAGGTAAGGCAAAACATTCGCCGAACATAGGATTTCACATGTATTTGTCGGAATTTTAGTGTTAAAAACACTTATAAGGAGTTTAGTTCGAGGCTTGATGAACCCATCCGGAGTTGTAATGGTAACGGTTACGAAATGCTAGATGCTACACACGAAGGTGTGCGAATCGTTGTCTGAATTTCTGATCGGTGTATCCTGCACCGTACGAGATCTAGTTTATCATTGAAGTTGATGTAGGCTTTCACGGCTTTCGTGTGAAGAAACTGGATTTCCGGATTCTAGCCGTGACTTATTGATGCAATCCCTACCTACCACAAGTTTATAATCTACTAATGTAAAAAATTTAATACGAGATTTTTTAATTATTTCTGAATTTTGTAGCTCAGTAACAAGACAATGCGTACATATCTCCATTTTTTTTTTATATTAGGGTGTTGTTTACAGACAAATCGGGATGCAATTTTGAATTTTCACAATAATCACTATTGGTGCGGCGCAAATCATTTAAAAACTGTTTGGCGTGTGTGGTGCGAAAATTTTTGGAGACTTTTTACGCATAAAAAATGAATATTATTTAAAACCACAAAAATTCGGGCTCCACTTTGCTAGCTCGAAGTACGCGTACAAAACCAAATTAACAATTAGAAGATTTGTTTAACTCATAAAATTTACAAATAACTCCTATACATAAAACAATACCTATCTAAAGTTGGTATCTTCTTGAGGATCCCCCCCTGCTGAGTTTCTCTACTTGATAAATGAGGACTTCCAGATAAAGTAATAAAACGATTCAATAAGATGTAATCCTGAAATATATGGGGAACTGGACTAATGAAGATTGTCTACCAAAAAATAACCAAGGTCAACAACAAAATATTACAAAGTAGAAGATTAACAGAGCTTCAAATAATCACCGGTTCTTATATGGAGTTACAGGTTTTCCTCCAGTATTTTGCATCCAGGATGCTTTTAAAAAATGTTTTCACCTCTAGAAAATTTTTCATCTTAGATAAGTGGTAGAAACTCATATTCTCTGGTAAAAGCTACCCTAACCTAAAAAACTTAAGGGGCTTGATAATGCAAAGTATTAATTAATTAATCAAACCTTAAAATTCTAAAAAGAGCTCATGGGGAATAAACTTTACGGAAAAATTGGATTAGTCAGTCATTAGTAACATTTTTAAAAGTTAAACATTCAAAATGTATCAGATCAACACTGCATAAAACGAAATGTTTTTGAATTAAAAAAAATCGAATATTTACTGACATACTTACTATATAAAAAGAAAAAAGGCAACTCAATAATATACTTATCTCAAAAACCTTAGTTCGGATAAAAGTGGATATCATAGCACTCACGCAAAATCTAAGGTCCGTCTTGTCTCGACTATGACCAGGAAGAAAGAAGAAAAAGCTCCCAACGTCAACACATGACGAATAAATATAAATCTAAAAGGTCCAGAATTGAGCATGCATGAGGCTTCAGCTGTATATGAGGTTGTCATGCAATTCATTTAGTTCTCAAATTTGAAAATAAGGAACGATATTTGATAACAACATAGAGCTGAGTTAGTCAATAAATACAAAAATGGTCAGGCAGCGTTATCATCGTTAAGTCGAAAATTGATTAGATACGCACCTTCGTCTTATCCTATCTTGAATCAATCTTCGCATTTCTCGAAAACTGAAGCAACTTACATTTGTAACTATTTACAAAGAGTAATATAGGGATGAGTTACAAAGATAGAAGAGTGATACTTAGTTTGTATAAAGAGTAACAGGCAGTTATAGAGCCAGGGATGCATCGTAGAGAAGTAAATATTAGGAAGGGAGTCAGACAGGGATGCACACTGTCACCGCTACTTTTTAATCTATTCATCGAAGACGCGATCAACATCATTAAAGACAGTACAACTGTAGGGATAGATGTGCAAGGGCAAAAGATTAGTATGCCTAGATTTGCAGATGATATAGCAGTATTAGCATCTAGCAAGGAGGACCTAGAGATAGCTTTAAATAAAATGGAAGCGGTACTGACAGATCAGTACTGTATGAAAATAAATAAAAGTAAAACTAAAATACTGATATGCAAGGGAAGAAAAAGTAGGGAAAGAGCGAATATAAAGATAGGAGACGAAAAATTAGAAGAAGTGGCTGATTTTAGATACCTAGGAAGTCAGATAAGTGAGGATGGAAGGAGTAGTAGGGATATAAAGCAGAGGATAGCGCAGGGTCGTGTCGCCTTTAATAAAAAGAAGTCACTTCTATGCTCGCGAACGGTTAATTTAGAAATTCGAAAAAGGTTGTTAAAGGTGTATGTTTGGAGCACGGCGTTGTACGGGTGCGAAACATGGACAGTGGGAGCGGCGGAAAAGAAAAGGTTAGAAGCGTTCGAAATGTGGTGTTATAGGCGGATGATGAGGATATCGTGGGTAGAAAAGGTTAGAAATGAAGAGGTATTGGAAAGAATAGGAGAACAGAGGACTCTATGGAAGTCAATAAAAAATAGGCGAGATAGGTTGGTAGGACACCTTCTCAGGCATGAAGGTCTAGTCAGAGACATATTAGAGGTAGAAACAGGAGTTAGGAGGGGTAGAGGTAGACCTATATTAGATTACTGTTCGCAAATAGTTAAAGAAGCGGGTTGTTCCAGGATAGGAAAGAGTGGAGGTACGTGTCCAACCAGTCTTAGGACTGACAACCTTATGATGATGATGAATCCGACTTAAGTCTACCTCTACTTCTGCCTCTCTTTACTCCTATTTTTTATTGACTTCCATAGAGCCATCTGTTGCCGTTCTCTTTCTAAATCCTCCTCATTTCTAACCTTTTCTGTCCATGGTACCTTTAGCATTCTTTTATAATAATGTATGTGAAAAACATTTCTTTTCCACAGCAGCAACTGTCCATCATGTTTCACATGCATAGAGACATATACATACACTATTAACAATTTTTAAGATTTCAAAGTTAACCGTTCGCGAACGTAAAATAAATATTTATGATCAGATCCGGCACCAGTCTTTATTTTTCATCAGTCAGGGGTATTAAAACAATAAAAACATATTAAATCATTCAAATAAAATCATTAACATGTTGCATATACATCATTGTATTTATCGTTTTAGGTCAACAATAAGCTAATTAGTTACCACGCACAACATATTACCATGTATCGGACCGTTCTATTTATGAAATCAACAAAAAATTGTTAAAAACACCGAATAGGGCTTGAGCAAAATCAATTACTGACGAGCAAGATTCTAACATCTCAAAGTTGTTCGGTAATTAGGTTTTATGTTTCATATCAGCTTCCGCATCATGTGAAATTTATTTCCTTTTCTGGACGTATACTAACTTCATAAACTGGGTTGAAATTCACACACTATTTCAATTTTCTGTTACCTTAATCTAAAGCAATAATGGGCGTATTGTTATTTCCTTCATTATAATTTACCAGCAAAAGTTAATCATTCATGCTAAATTGATTGCATTATTTATATTGATAAAACAATGGACCGCAATATTCATGAACATTTGGCATTAATGTTGACACGTATTGTATATTACTGGAATATTTGTTAATAGTAACAAAACATCCGATAAAATTAAAATCGTGTTTTATATTGCATATTTTGTGCTGAGTTATTAGTTCTAACTGTAAATTCATCAATTTTATATTGGTTCAGTTGTGATATTTACCATTATTTTGTTCAGTTCAGAGCAATTTTCAGCTGTTAAATGTTTTGTAAGTATCTTTAATCATACGTTCTTTTTTTTTAGTATTCACCCATTTAATAAAAGAATAAAGACGAATATATATAACAATACTAATTTTAAAAGCAAATGATGAATAAATCGCCCATCACACACTCGGAAAAAACTTTTAGTTTCTGTTTTTAAATACATTTGTATAGTTGAAGGTATAT